TTGTTTCTTCTTCTAGCATCTGTTGCTGAAGGAATTACTGATGGAAGAGCAGCAACAACAGCAGCAGCAGCATCAGCGGCAGCAGCAGCAGCAGCAGCAACAGCAGCATCGGCAGCAATAACCGGGCTAAACCCGTACAACAATCTAGTGATCGATTTGGATAATCATGATGATGAGCTTGTGATAGTTACGGACGAGTCCCAGGGTGGAAATAATGATGGCGCTGGTGTCGAAGTTATTATTAATAATGATGATGATGATGATAATGGCATTATCAATATTGATGATGAGAATGTTGAACAACAACAACAGCAGCAGCAGCAGCAGCATGAGGATATTGTGCTGGATGATGGCGAAGAGGATGAACAGGCCGACGATAGCGTCCTTGTTATTGATAGGGAAAATTGAATCTTAAAAAAACAGTTATTCACAGTTATTAATTTATTGTGCGATATGAATTGGAAAGCTGCCAGTAGCGAATTGAAACAAAATTTCAATAGAAAATTGTATTAACAACGGATGAAATAAGAAAAAGAATCAATAAGAAAGGTTGGGAAATGAGAATTATGAAACTTGTAAAATTATTATAGTGGTAAGAAATGTTTCGGTCCAATCTCATGCATACTTCTCATCGTTTTTTTTTTTTTTAAATACCAGAATCAAGTGGTTTTGTGAAGTTTTAAATTGAGCTTTGCGTTTAAATCGTGCGGGAGTTGACTTGAAAATTATTTAACTTGGTCTAAAAACTCGGAATACTGAATAAATATCCGGCAAAAATTCCTAAAAACAGGAAAATATGGAGTTCAATCGACCGGGCACAGCTAGGATGGAACAGGGGGAGGGAGTAAGGAAGAAATTCCCTACTCACATTTGATTTTTGCTTCTATCTTTTTCCCTTGCTCACTTTTTTGACTTCGCTGCGGGTACTCTCGGGCATGCTTACCCAGGGCTGCCAAGTTCGGCCGTTGATACTCTTATGGTAGTATAAATCGGCACTCACTAAAACTCAGTTTGATTCGGTTGTGGGGAAATGTGAGTCGCGATTTTATGGGTAGATGAGGAGATGCGAAAGTAGTAATTGTACGCAAATAATATTTCATTTTTTCCCTGATTTTTTATTCTATTGTGATTTTAGAGCAAAATTACTCACTTGAGAACCAGGAGAACTAGGAAGCTGAAATCTTAGGGGGATGTTCCCTGTCCAAGTACAATTTAAATATTTCAAACGCAGCTTCCCAGGTATGCTTGGTTCTCACGTATTGGCACTTAAACTTTGGCAGGAAAATTGCCTACTATTGTTGTAGAAATTATGCGACTGCTTTATTAGTCCGAAATCTTACTAGAGCAGAAAAAAAATTCTAAAACATAAGTATGCTATCAGTGCTTGGAGAAAGAAGAAACGGAAAGAACAAATGCACGGGCTTTCGTTTATTTCAGAATGTTTCCGAAACATATCTTGGATTTAACAATTCTTTCGCTATCCATTATTATCGTTATTTTTCTAGTTACTGCAGTCTGATTTTGTTGCCAGCAATATCGATATGTTTTCTATAAATGAAATGAATCTCGTTTCTTTTGCCTGTAGATTTATTATGCTAAGCAAGAAAGCAAACAACGAAAGTTGGCAAGCAGCTCAGGCCTACCAGCTTTCTCCAGCGTCTGGTTCCTTGCTCACCTTTTTACCCGTAGTAAATCATAATACCCATTCTTCGTTTCACTTCTTTCCATTAAGCAAAATCTCAGTTTCTTTTCAGAAAATATTCCAATCCACTTCCCCGAGTTCCGGTTCCACACAACCTAGACCGACATCTCCATTTCTTTTTTTGCATCACCCACTTGCGCCATTCCGCCATTCAAATTGAATTTACCGTTCAGACTTGTT